GCGGATGATCGCGCTGCTGGAACGGTGACCACGGCGGACGACGCAGCAGTTTTACTCGCCAGTATAGGCGACGCGGGAACGGCAGGCACGACGGAGGCTGCGGTGCTCGATGCAGAAGCTTTGCACGCAGGTACAGGCGACGCAGGAGCAGCGAGCTCGGTGGAGTCCACGAGAGGGCTCGCAGTGTGATCGGCCTTGAAGGCCTGAAACTCGGAAGTGAGCTTTGGGTAGCGAAGCCGGAGAAATTCCGCAAATACAGCGTCCATGATGTCTACGTGCCCAGGTGGGGCTACCCTGGGTCTTAGAAAACACTCGCCTTGCGGCGAGGCCCCAACTTCTCGGACCTGAGCGGTTCTATTGAACACAGGTGGCGATGCGGCACGATTACTGCAGGACAAAGAAAAATCACAACAAAACGGAAATAACAAAAAGAAACAAAACAATTAAACACTTCCAGGAAGACAGTTTGTCGGCAGATGTACCACGAACACAGAAATAACAAAAGGAAACAAAACAAATAAAAACTTCCAGGAAGAGCACTTAGTCGGCAGATGTACCACGAACACAGGCCGCGCGAACAATGGCCGGGCTAACAAAAGCCGGGCGAACAAAGGCCGGGCGATCGAGTGGTCGATGAGCACGTCCGCGCGTGACGGGTGCCTCTATCGGAATGCTCCAATTGAGTTCCAATTGAGTCTGCAGGGGGGCGAAACGATGTATCCAATTCCCGGCAAAATCCAATATGATTGGTAAAAACAAAAGGTCAAACCAATTTCAAAAGGCCAATTTTCATTTTCGTTTTATTCTTAAAAATCGCTTAACCGAACAGAAGTTAATAGTCAAAGAGATTTTCTTGAAGCCAAGGTAGGAATTTAGCCAAGTCGCTGAACACTACGTAATGGCTGGGGTCACATCTGCATTCGTTCTGCCTGGCCACGGAGAGCGACACCAGGCCCCTGAGGTACCAGCTCTCGCCAAACTTGAAGACCATTCCGCCACCACTGTCGCCGTTACAGACTGATGTTCCTGGAAAGTCGAGACATTGCAGAGTTCAGGTAAAAGTGCTTAAAGAGTCGCTTGGTAGGAGTATGTTGCCCGCGTTGACCATTAACTTTAGTATAGTGATCACTTCGCTTGTGAACAAGTGTTTGGTACATAGTTGTTAGAAAACCGCAGTATTTGAATTGGGTGTATGGGATGCTCGCATGGATAGGTGTCACTAATTTGCTTAATTCTACCGGGAGACCATCATACGTCGGGTAGCCGTAATACAATCCAGTTGAAATGTCAACCTTGTATCTTAAGTTTTAATGGTAACTATTTAAAACTAAGTAGACCATGATCTCATGCGCTGACTTCGAGTAAAGCTGCGAGAATGTATTTGAACAAATTATAGAACGTACCGAAATGAAAAGCTCCTTCTTTTCAATGCAGTTGGTTAAATTTACCGTACGACATGTCACTTCATCTTAAATAAAATATACAAAACCTACTACCGTCTCTATATCCGGCGCAGTACGTGTACTCTGATGTGAATCTGACGAAGAATTCGCTGTAAGACCTGATGCAGGTTTCAGTGTCAACCACGGGCATCTCCACCAGGCTGAGCTCTTCTGTCGCCACTCCTGTCTCATCAAAGCCCCAGCCTACCACCTGAAAAGAATAGTTAATTTCATTATTACCAGGAATTACACTGCACTCGAGCATACGAAGTGTTTCTGAACTTCAATCCCTGGTTAACATGCGTCGTAAGGCACAAACACGTAATTTCGGATCCTCCCGATTTACTATCGGTGTTTTTAGGTACCCCAAGCATCGGTCACAGTTCTCGCGGAGCCCATTGCTTGGAACGAAGGGTTCGGCGATCAAATTAACCCACAGACGTAGCCTGCTGAGTCTCTCGCCGGATCTTCGCAATGGGTCACGTTTCCGATCCGATCGTAGACTTTGCGAAGCACTGCTTTTGCTAGGGCTGTTAGCAACGTCCTCTGGTTAGAGCATCGTGAGCTCACCTACTTGCCGCTTACACTGGCATAACCACTTAAGTTACCAGCTTAGGTAGGTAAGTTACGTGTTTATCGCGAGTTTATTTACAAACGCGCTTGGCTGGGACTTAATTTAATTATCTAATTATTTCCAGCGCCACGTATTTTGTTGCATCGACAGCGGATCGGGTTTAACCAACTAATTAATGAGTTGAAATTCGCTTCGCCGGCGTTGCTGTAGAAACTATTAACCATGGCTATGTTTTTAATTATATGTAGTAGAGCACTTGCGCAGTTTTACTGGTTTTTTTTTATTGCCCATGTAGGCAGACGAGCATACGGCCCTCCTGATGGTGAGTGGTTACCGTCGCCCATGGACTTCAGCAATGCCAGGGGCAGAGCCAAGCCGCTACCTACCGCTTAATACTCTCCACAAGCCTCGTTTGAAGAAGGACATGACATAGCGCTCGAGAAACACCATGGAGGGGAGCTCATTCCATAGCCGGATGGTACGTGGCAAAAAAGATCTCTGGAACCGCACTGTGGATGACCGCAGTGGCTCCAGGTAGTATGGATGAACTCTACTCCGGTGACGGGCGGTGCGATGGTAAAAACGAGATGCCGGTATCATCTTGAACAATTCCTCAGAGCACTCCCCATGGAACATACGGTACAAAATACAGAGGGAACCGAAGTCCCTCCGCAGACCCGTACAAATAAAACGCTCGGAATTATTGAAATGACATTTCAATATTTGGACAGGGATCATTTCTTCTAAAGAATACTTAAAACGGGTTTCCAGATTTTTTGTCATTTCCCACCTGACTCTGGAGTGATTTTTTTTATTGGTTAGATCAGTGGACGAGCTCACGGCTCATCTGATGTTAAGTGGTTACCGGAGCCCATAGACATCTACAACGTAAATGCCGCCACCCACCTTGAGACACAAGTTCTAAAGTCTCACTTTTAACTACGGCTGCCCCGCCCTTCAAACCGAAACGCATTACTGCTTCATAACTGAAATAGGCAGAGTGGTGGTACCTACCCGTGCGGACTTACAAGACGTCCAATCACTAGTAAAATTCTCGTACTCCTATTAGTGGAAATTATTATCACATAAATTATTTTCTTAGCGACGACATTGAAAATAAATGGAATTTTTAATTATTGGTCCATCCATGATTCAGGATGAATGAATGGTAAATTATATAATATTGTGATATCTTGCACTGCACTAAAATTCGCATGTCAAATAATGACAAAGCATACACGCTGCTTTTAACTTATGTAATAACTAATTTTCACTATGCTTGGCGAATAAATGATTTCTTTTTTTCTTTCTTTCTTTCTTTCGGTTTTTCCTGAGCGCTATGACCAGTCGTTCTTCAAACGACGCTTCAAAAGATTCTTGTTCCGTCAATGCAATCTATGAACATTGGTGACCACGCATCATCATTGTCTGCCTATTTAGGCAATAAAAATGGATAATTAGAAGATACACTTCAATCTCATAGATGAATATGGGTTATTAGCGCGTTGTGAGACTACGGGGTGCTGCATTCACTTTACACCCGACAGATCTTGGGCTTGCCCATGTATAACAGTAAATAATATTTATATCCGTGCATTAAGGAGAATAGTAGGAAAAGACTAGGTGGATCTCGTTCTGCTCTGTTGGATTTATCAAGAAATGGAGACTCATTGGTTCGGTTTCATTTAAAAATGACTTACTGATCCCTTCTTCCCTACAATATTATTGAGGGAGATCTGATTGCCGGGCCAAAGACAAGCTGGCTGAACCCATTTCGAATAGCTGACTCTTTCTTTCAGCTCCAAGATGCTGACGTCACGACTGAATGTCGACGCGTTGTATTCTGGGTGTATTATTATTTGACTGACCTGAAATAAAAGTGCTCATTAAATATTGACTATTAAACTAAAAGACGGATAGAAGATAGAATGGATTAGAAACGGACCACCTCCAAATACTACGATGCTCTTTCAAATCGTCCTATACATTTTTTGTACATTAAAATTAAATATACGTCGACATGTAGTTAATCAATATCAATATATTGTTAGATCTTGATAATTTGTTTGATGAGACCACGTGAGAAACACGAGCTTTCAAATTAAAATCATCAAAATTGGTTCAGCTAGAAAAAAGTTCTGAGGTGGTACACAAATAATAGCCTAATTGAGGAGAACTTTCGAATCGAACTGACATCTTCACGAAGGTTTTGCACAATTTGGGCGGTATTCGTATGGTCTTTTTAGCCTCTAAGTACAGAGTGGGCCTTAAGCATAAGTAAAATCTGTGTCCAAAGCTTCTTAGGGTCATTACTAGGACCATTTAGGCTCTAAGCAAATATTTTATATACATACGTGTAGGATTGGTAAGAAGGGAACGTATGAAAAGTGTGTGAAACGGAGCGCTAAGAGGCGAGTGAAGGAAAACAGTAAGAAAGGGAAAAGAGACTGACAAACCAAAGCAAGATGGTGAAGACGTTTGAATGAGCAAGGCGTAAAAAATATGTCAGTTAATTTTTAATCATAATAACAGAGAAAATTTTGGAAGAGAACTATAAAAGTAGAATAGTTTTATTTTATGCGCCACGATCCCAATTCTACACACGGATACCTCTACGAACCAGATTAAAGAATTTTATGATATTTTATATATTTCTTCTGTGCGTGTGTTTGTCACTGAACTCCTCCTAAACGGCTGGACCGATTTTAATGAAATTTTCTGAGTACTTTCAGGTGGATTCGAGAATAGTTTAGACTAACAAGTCAGTCCGGTAAATGGCGCTGCAGTTGGTATCTAGGTTATTTATCTTTCCTAGAAATTATTTATATGGCAAAACAACGTTTGCCGGACCAACTAGTATACATCTATTTTTTTATCAATTTAATATTATCACACGATGAAACTCACGAATCTGATCTGCACGCCGTCGACGGAAGTTCTGAGATTGTGTTTCCCCAAGTACACGGTCAGCGTATCCTTGTTCACGAGTCGTTGAGAGCCCTTCCTTGTGACGCAATGTGCCGCCGTGATGATGTGGCGGTGTGACACAAGCGTTCCTCCGCATATGTATTTGTTGTCTACTCTCTATAGAACAGATATAAAAAACTATATAAAAAAAACATAAGTACTCTTGTCGTCGTGGTGTAACGTATAAGGTAGAATTGTTTTAATTTGTCAATTTAGTGTTAGACGGATTTTAAGCGGGTAATAATGGTGGCCTAATAGGCGGGTAGGTACCACTTAACCCCAGTTGGGCTGTGATATCTATGGGCTCCGGTAGCTGCTGTAACAAGCAGATATTCCGGTCATAAACAGAAGCAACATTTCGAAAATGGATTAAGGATTATATAACTAAGATGTTCTGTAACCAATGGTCTTTACCTATGAAGTTCCCATTTTACAATACTAGCTATTAGAAACTATAGATGCATTTTTTTATTGGTGGAAATACAAAATAACAAAATACGACTTTAATTTTCTACATACTAAACGGGGACTACGTCGCTAAACACCTTGTTTAATTGATACCATCAACTGATGTTAAGTAAACTAACTGAAATACAAGCATTTTAAACATAGATTTTATTCACATTAAATATATGTTTGAGCAAAACTTGTTTGTCTTTACGGTCGAAAATTATCCGCTGTGTATTACCTGAGTCTGGTATAAGGCGATCTGCCAAGGCCATTGACCTTCTAACGTCGGGACCCCGTTCAAAACTAAAGGTATAGGCCTGTTCAACAGTACTCGGCCGCAGGTATTCTGGAAGGAGAAACATAAAGTTGAATCAAGTCTGCCATCAGGACGTTTGAGTCGACTATTATCAAAGCCGGCAATCTGACTTTTGGACAATGATTGGTAAATCAGAAAAGCGAATTATTGACTTTGTATTCCATTGGCAGTCACAAAACTCTTCGGAACGACATCTTAGATAAATAACAGGTTAACTATTAACCTTTATTTAATGCAGGTTTTGAACCGTATTCTTTGAAGGAGACGATTATATTCAAATCAATCTGTATTGACATATCAATAATTTTTTTTTGTCCAAATGCACAGATCGCCTCCTTTGATAATAGACGACTCTTTTATTTCCATTATTATTTACAGTGGCAGCGGTTGGTAGGTGGTGGCCATTGGCGGTGCTCCTATGAACGAAGACAACAAATCACCATTGGACGGTAGCAATAAAGACAACAAGAGTAGTAATAACAAATATGCTTATCAAGTGCCGTGACGTCAGCATGAATGCAGCGAAAGCGAGAAAGAGATAGAGAGATATTATTCCGATTCGTGAGTTACCTCAATTTTAAAACTCGATTCGATTGTATACAGTAGTTTGTTTGAATATTATTTGCAACCGTTATAGCTGTAATTCAGTCAGCCAGGTGAATTATTAGATACCCCATTATAATTAATACAACTGACGTAAGCAGTACAGCACGGATGCGCTGTGGCTCTGTATGAGTTTGTTACTGGAACTGTTAATCTGACTAGAATACTATAATATAGATCCGATATCAAATTCAGATTCCTATTCTATTACTCTTTTGTCAGGGCTAATCTTTGAAACGCGCAAATTTAACTGAATTTTCATTTATAATCTAATAAGAGATCTTCTATCTGAGGTATTTTTAGTATGATGCATGCATTAAAATTGCATTAAAATTGACAGAATGATTAAGGAAAATTATCAAATTATTATTACGATAGGCCAATCAGACAACTAAACTATTACATAAATGATGATTTTGGGAATGGCATTTCGATGATGACTCACTACCGAAATTTTGAATCGTCTTAAAATTTCATTTATTCGTTTATATTAATAATAGTCGTCGAACCGGATTCGGCGGCCAAAACCTATAGGGTATTTTTCCTCGTCTGATTTTTTCTTTTTAATCATCTGATTTTATTACTATTTTGTATCGGATTTTTAATAGAATGTGCTAAATTAGTTTTTTTTTCATCAATTCCAAACGTAAATCTCAAAGCAAATCAAAAACACATTAACCTGATCGCTTCGGTTGCTGCTCGGCAATATGATGGTGGGCTGGCCTCCCGTGAAATATTCGTAGTCGTCAACGTCTCCTGCACTGCACAGAAAAATTCAAATTCAAAATCATTTATTTCAACTTAAATGTCAGTATAACACACTTGTTGAATGTCAAAATATAAATAACAATGTTAACTCTACCACCGGTTCCAAAAAAAGCCACAGTCCTGAGAAGAACCGGCGAAACAAACTCAGGGGGCTGTTTTTTTGTTTTTTCTCAAAAAAAAATTTTTTTTTTAATAAGTAAAAAGATTTGCGATAAACGAAAAAACAAGTCAAAAAATACAATTAACAAAAAACAAATTAACAATTAAAAAAGGTTATAACATTATTTAAACTCTAAATTAATATCTCCAGGTACGTCCAGATCTTTATCATTGTGATGTCTATTGGCAGCCATAGCAATAGATTAAAAACACAATCCTTATACACAAACACACTTGTTTGGATATCGAGTAGAGAGAACTCGCTCTCGCCAGCGTCATCTGACGGCCGGAGTCCCGCAAGGCTCCGCCGCACATCCCGTTATTATTTACTTTGTATATTAACGATATACCCCGGTCTCCGGAGACCCATCTAGCGCTCTTCGCCGATGACGCGGCTATCTACTATTCGTGCAGGAAGACATCGCTTTTGCATCGGCGACTCCAGATCGCAGCAGCCACCATGCGCAGTGTATCCGGGAATAGCGGGAATGGCCCAGAAAAAACACAGTGGTGCTCTTCAAAAGAGGTCGCCCTCCGATTACCACTTCGAGCAGCTCACTCCCTAATAGCCGCGTTAACACCTCCGCCATTCGCCCCATCACTCTCTTTGGCCAGCCCATACCGTGAGCCTTGAAGGTCAATCTAGGTGTCACCCTCGACAGAGAGATGACATTCTGACCCCACATAAAAATAGCACGCGACCGAGCCGCCTTCATACTAGGACGCCTCTATCCCATGATTTGCAAGCGAAGTAAATTGTCCCTTCGTAATAAGGTGACACTACAAAACTTGCATACGCCCCGTCATGACATATGCAAGTGCGGTGTTCAATCACGCGGCCCGCACTACTTTGAAACCTCTTCAAGTTATTCAATCCCGTTTTTGCGGGATAGCCGTCGGAGCATCATGGTTCCTATTCCTATGTATCACGGAGTTACACTAATATGTAACTCCGTGATGACCTGAAACTTGACTTAATCAGTAAGTATATACAGTCGGCATCAATGGGCGTCTTTGAGAACGCGGCATGACACGAAAGGTAGTGCAACCTCAAGCACCGATCACCGTTCTCGCCGGATCCTCTCAGTGGGTCGCGTTTCCGATCCGGCGGTAAATTCTGCGAAGCATTGCTCTTGCTAGGGCCAGTGTTAGCAACACTTCAATTTGAGCCCCGAGAGCTCACCTACACGCTAGGGTAAGGCTGAAATAGCATATCAAAGCTATCAGCATATTAGAAAAAAAAAACTCGGACACACACAAACGTTAGGAACTAGTGCGGGAATCCGGAAAGCAAAATTCTGCTATCCTCATTAGGAATCCTTAAAATATTTTTCGAATAATTTCTCCGTCTATCCTCTTTATTTCAGTAACCAATCTGTACATTGGTAATTCCAAAACGAAGCCAGACCGGTCGTTAATATATGAAATCGTTAAGGAAAAACCCTGCTTTATTATTCCCTTGGCCGCTACGACATGTGTAACGAGGAGTTTTTAAGTTCCTAAATTAGTAGCGCCATGATTGGATGGGTCACTGGTATTGCCGATGTCCATTGACAGCGACTATTAAATCCCATGAAATAGGTTACCGATTGGAAATCTATCTATCTATATATATAAAAATGAATTGCTGTTCGTTAGTCTCGCTAAAACTCGAGAACGGCTGGACCGATTTGGCTAATTTTGATCTTGAATTATTTCCAGAGAAGGGAGGAAAGGTAGATAAATATGAAAATGCTCGGAATTAAATAAAAATAATAATTTTGTTTTTTTTTATGTGTCCCTTCGTCGGACGGATTCCTTTTGTTTGTTTTAAGTTTATTTTATACAAAAGTTTAGGTCTTTTATTTCTCGACTGAGGCACTACAAAGTCGGCCGGGTCAGCTAGTTAATAAATAAATAGTTAACCTATACGAACACTTGTAATCGAGCTCCAGAGGAAAAACACGTTCTTTGGTATTGCGCTTTTGCGATAAACAAGTTTTTCTTTTTCTTTTAATCGCCGACAGCTTGAAGGTCACTGTTGAAAAATTTGGCTACCTATTGAATGTGTTTTTCCTTATTAGATTATGTTATTGCAACCGATAAGTGCTTTCCAGCTGTAGCAGTGTTATTCCCTCCCAGTATATCCACGCAAATTCTCATTAGTTTTCTCTCTCTCTTCAATCGGTCCCTCATTGCTGAGGATTGTGACTCCGTTTGATTCCGTCAACTAGCTGTCTCCATCGATCCCGTTCTGTAGCTTGGTAGAGTGCATCGCTGACAGGTATTTTTAGTTCCTCCGCTAATTAGTCTGACCATCGTTTGGGACCTCTACTCTTAGGCCATTTTCTCTCGATTTTACATTTTTCATTGGTTTTCTGCCTCTGTCTCTTTTCAATCGGTCCCTCATTGCTGAGGATTGTGACTCCGTTTGATTCTGTCGACTAGCTGTCTCCATCGATTCCGTTCTGTAGCTTGGTAGAGTGCATCGCTGACAGGTATCGTAAAGTCGTCGTGGCATAAAGGATAAGACGTCCGGTGCATTCGTGTTGAAGCGATGCACCGGTGTTCGAATCCCGCAGGCGGGTACCAATTTTTCTAATGAAATATGTACTCAGCAAATGTTCACGATTGACTTCCACGGTGAAGGAATAACATCGTGTAATAAAAATCAAACCCGCAAAATTATAATTTGCGTAATTACTGGTGGTAGGACCTCTTGTGAGTCCGCGTGGATAGGTACCACCGCCCTGCTTATTTCTGCCGTGAAGCAGTAATGCGTTTCGGTTTGAAGGGTGGGGTAGCCGTTGTAACTATACTGAGACTTTAGAACTTGTATCTCAAGGTGGGTGGCGCGTCTACGTTGTAGATGTCTATGGGCTCCAGTAACCACTTAACATCAGGTGGGCTGTGAGCTCGTCCAACCATCTACGCAATAAAAAATAAATAAAAAAAAGGTATTTTTAGTTGCTCCGCTATTTGGTCCGACCATCGTTTGGTACCTCTATCCCTAGGACTTTTTCCCTCGATTTTACGTTTGCATTGGTTTAAGTAAACCGGAATTTTGCAGTAAAAACTTACCTTCCATTGTCGTCGTGGTGTTGTGATGAGCTAGGCTGTTTCGAGGGTGGACGGTACGTGGGTGGCGCAGGAGTGAACCTAGGATTATTGTTCGAAGGTCCTCTGTCCTGATTCTGATTATACGACTGAGAAGATACCTCTCCACCCGAACTGTAGACAGAATAATGTCTTCTATAATGATTTCCTTCAGGTAAATTGAATCTATATCGATGCTATACATATAAATAAAATTGGAGTGTCTGTTTGTAATATTGAAATAACCGCTTTTTACTACATGCACATGAATATTATATACGAGACATACACCAAAATAATATTTTTTACAATTTGTGTCTGTCTGACTGTCTGTTTGTCTGTAATCTCTGGAACGGCTGAACCGATTTTGACGAGACTTTCACTGATAGGTAGCTGATGACATAAGGAGTAACTTAGGCTTTAGCTCTTTTTTAGACTAGCTGTCACTGCGGGTCTCAGCTATTAATAATAAAATTTAATGTTTCCGAAGCGAAGCGAGGTCGGATCGTTATATACCAAATAAAACCCCAAATGCTAACAAAGATACAGTAACCATAATTCGTGGCCAAAATGGTACTGGAGGTCTTGTGAGTCCGCGTGAAGCAGTATGCGTTTCGCTTTGAAGGGCTGGGCAGCCGTTGTAGTGTACTGAGACCTTAGTACTCATATCTCAAGGTATGTGGCGGCATTTACGTTGTAGATGTCTATGGGATCCGATAACCACTTGGCACCGAGTAGCCGGGTCAGATGGGCTTACATGCACCCATCTTAGCAATAAAAAATAAAAAAAGAACATCAGTCATACTAGTATAGACTCAGAGGCTAATAAAGAACTATCCATTTTCAAATGCACTACAAAGAAGCATATGCAAGATATTATACAAATTATCTATACTAATATATAAATCTAGAGTGGTTTTTACGGATGTTCCGTTATAACTACTGAACTATGCATCCGATTGACTTGAAACTTAGTATCCATGTAGAAAATACATGTACTTAATGGATAGTCTAATATTTATATGAGTGTTGGACTCCTACACCAGTTGCGGGGGCGTTAATGATGAGAATTTTTGTGGGGGTGAGAAGCCCAGCGAAGCGGGCGGGTACAGCTAGTCTTTACCCACCACGAAAAAATCGGTTTGCTAATTTTGTAATCTATATTCAGAGAACGACAGTGAGCCAATGATCAAATGTGAAATTTTTGTAATGCTATCTTTATGTTGGGGATGGCTTGGGATCACTTCTTCACACCGAGTAAGTCTATGAGTGTGTAAGACACAAATCCCCAGAATTACAAAAAAAAACAACAACAAATTGGGATTATTTCGATTAATTGAGCTTCAGACAAAATGTTCCTCTTGATCATTTAACGTGAACGATTATCGCAAAAACCGGTCGTACAAATCGCCTATATTTGTAATTTTTTGCTGTACTTTATTATTTTAATGCAAATAAATCAATTTTTGTACGCAATTAATTCTTGATTAAAATCAATGAGAGGCTCGACTAAGTTTGGTTAGATACTGCGCCATTCCCGCGGAATTTTAGGGTTTATTAAGTTTCTATGAAAATAGGTAACAGAATCCGTGTTACTACCGAAATGCTTTAAGAACTAAGTATATGGTAAACATTTTATGTCTCTGTTACAATTAATCGAAAATAATTCCAAGCAGACGTACATACAGGAAAGTGACTCGAAAAAATCGGGTAATATAAGCAATTGGTATTTTTGATAGCATGTGAGACCATATACTAACATTTACGAGGCGTACGACTTTCAGAAACTGCACGTTAATATGATTCATATATCAGCTAACATAACTAAGCGATAGCTTTGATTTTTTGTCCTACCTAAGCTGATGGTCTAGAGAGACCATATCAGCGTCACCGGCCTAGTAAATGAGCTAACGGGGCTCAAATCTTACATTGTTGCTAACATGAACCCTAGCAAGAGCCGTACTTCGCCGAATCTACCACCGGGTCGGAAACGCGACCCACTGAGAAGATCCGGCGAGGAACTCAATGGGCTGTTTCTGTGGGTTAATTTATTTGCCGAGCCCTTACGACGAGAACGATGACCGGACTTTGATTCAACTGACCACAGAAATCGAAAACATTGATCCTTAAGGCACTTACATGCTCGATGGATTTGCGGAATTCACGGGTTTTACGTAAACTGGTCGCTCGGCTTCGGTAGACGGTCGACCTTGGACGGGTCTAGTCTGCAACAGGTGCTCTGGACGAACATCAGGGCTCTGTGTTCTCGTATCCGGTATCTGTGGCCTCACAACTGGATCCTGAGGTCTTCTAATAGGAATTTGCGGTCTTTCAGTTTCTGGCGTCCTCGAGTCAGTATTCAAGGGTCTACTTGTTGGTCTAGGGGATGGAGTAGTTTGTTGTCTTCGATTGGATTGTGTTTGGGGTCTACCAGTCGAAGCTGTGACGAATCGGTTCGGCTTTGAATCGCCCGAAGACAGAGGGCTCTCAAGGGCAGGCTGGGGGTTGTTTGCATTGCAAATTTCACGTCCGTTCAATCTGATGGCTAAAAGACGAGGAGCTTTGTTCAAAGTATTGTATTGGACGAAAAATCTAACTGCCGTTGCTGGCCCGGGATTGATCTTCGTCTGCGTGCTTTCGATTTTGAAGTTCATGTTGTCTTGCGTTGTGACATCGCCTATCCAATTCTGAAAAAGATTAACTTTCCTTCAAGTAAATAATTTTTATTTTTTTATTGCCTTTGTAGGCAGATGAGCATACGGCCCACCTGATGGTAAGTGGTCACCGTCGCTCATGGACGTCAGCAATGCCAGGGGCAGAGCCAAGCCGCTGCCTACCATAAAGTACTCCCCGCAAGCCTCGTTTGAAGAAGGACATGTCATAGCGCTCGGAAAACACCGTGGAGGGGAGTTCATTCCAAAGCCGGATGGTACGTGGCAAAAAAGATCTTTGGAAACGCACTGTCGATGAAGTTCTAAAAAAAGGATTTTGCTTATTAACTCCCAACAGACAAAGTGCTATCTAATATAGTTTTATTTTATTTTAATTAATCACATAAGTATTCGTTCTTACCCCAAGTATATCAGCTTTACTATCCAGAACGATATTGAGCCATAGAGAATATAACGTGCTGTCAGTGGAGACATGGACAACGCCATACCACCTCCCAGCCTCTGACCCCGGCGTTTCATACTCGAAAACATTCGGGCATGGTGAGATTGGAGTGCTTTGGTCCTGTGTGCGAACTGATAGTGCTAAAACCAGCACAACGGTCACAAAGCCAAGCTGAAAAAATATTTTCATTTAAAAAAAAAGGATTCTGCTCCGTTAAAAGTACAAGATCGCAACTTCATTGTGCTTATTTGTTTAATTTGACGATAAAGAAGCAGGCGACCAGTCTGATGGTAAGTGATAACCTGTAGAAACTGATTTAGGCCTGCAGGCTGCTTTCTAGAAACCAGCTTGCGGGCTGTTACTATACTTAGTCTGGCCATAAATACTGTTACAATTAAACAAAAAAAAACTATTGCAAATAACATTTATTACTTTTACAGTGTGTTAGTTTACGATACGAAGTGGTCTCCATTGGCTGCAATACAGTCCTTTAAACGTTGAGGCCAGTTATCAATAGAGGCACGCACTCTTTCCATGGGAAAAATTTTCACTGCCAATCGTAGGGATTGTTTTAGCGACTCCAAATTATCATGGCGCTTAGAGCAAGCCGTACTCTCTAAAAGTGACCATAAATCATAATCCAGCGGATTAAGATCGGGACTAGACGACGGCCAGTCTTCAGCTCTGATGAAGTCCGAAACGTTCGTTTCCAACCAAGACTGCGTAGACCGAGCTTTATGACCTGGCGCCGAGTCTTGCTGGAAAGACCATTCTTGATTATTGAACATGGCGTTGTTAAGAGGCTTCACTACCTTCTCAAGAATGGTATCTTGATACACTTGTGCCGATGTTTTGATACCTTTTTCACAAAAGTATGGCTCAGTCACTCCTTCATAGCTAATACCCCACCAAACCATCACTGAAATCGGATAGTGCCCACGTTGCACTCTGTAGACTAATTGGGAAGCTTCCTTAGAGCTTTGAGCATAAATACGGTCATTTTGTTTGTTAAAATGTTGCTCAATTGTAAAAAAAATCTCATCCGTAAACAAAAAATTTCTATGACCTCCCTTTGCGTACCGCTTCAGTAGTTGTTTCGATTTTACCACCCTATTCTCTTTTAAATTATCAGTTAAGAAATGACCAGACTCTTATAGGCTGCAAGTCCTAAGTCATCTTTTAAAATACGCGACATGGTTCTAGGTGATATCTTGATCTCCCGAGATAAAATCTTTTGCTTTCGGACAGGATTTCTTCTAATTCTTTCCCTTACTGCTTTGACCACCTTTTTCGTACGAACACTACGTGGACGGCCATATCTTTTTCTGTCACAAACAGAGAAGATCTCATTGCACCTATTAATAGCCCGGTACACAAACATTTTACTAATACCAAGCGTATGGAGAGTTTTAAAAATTGCATTTGGCTCCATTCCACTCCATTTTAATATCGCAAAATATTGTACAATGTATTGGCGCCAAAATGAGAAAACTCAATGAGCAATCATATAAAAATGACAGATTCCAAATTCAAATGTAATATTTTGTTTATTTTTAATTGTAACAGTGTTTATGGCCAGACTAAGTAGATCTCCGTAGAGAGAAAAATCATTTCGCCAAAGGGACTAATTCCTGAGCCCGGCAATACCGAGAAAGCGTGTATTTTGTGAAATGTACTGGTTGACAAAATATTCTAAAGTAAAATTGCAAAACCGAATTTCAAAACTTAATTATTTAGTGTAGTGTAGTAAAATTAATAAATGATTTCTGTATTTTGTGCGTCACAAATTATCATATTAAGATTCGCTGGGAAGTAGGATGGAACTGTGTTCGAGGAACAGTCCACTCAAACGTGTTTTTATCTAATCGTGAACAGTTATTTAATTTCTTGGAAAAATAGCAAAATCTTGTTGTTCTAATGTTCTGTTTTGTTTTTTTTCGGCGGCGTATTTTCTAATAGAGTCGGGACGGTCCATCGTGTTAATTCGCCTTGTTATCCTGTATTGATGCTGTCTGTGACCATTAGTAACCTTTTTTTCTACTTATGCTGATAGCCTTGAGAGGCTATATCAGCGTTACCGGACCAAACCGGAGGTGTTGCTAACACTGGCCTAGCAAGAGCATTGCTTCGCAGAATCTACCACCGGATCAGAAACGCTGTGTGTATGGGTTAATTTAATCGCCGAGCCCTTCGTAAGAAAAAAAAAGTAATCACTGCCCATAGGGCAGATGAAAAAAAAAGCAAATAAAATAAATATACCTTTCTAACAGCAGGCCAATACTTAGTACATTCCAGTATAGGTAGTTAGCTTAGCTAGTCAGTTTATTTTAAGTTATTTTCGTGGCAGAGCAATAATTACGTAACTAACTCGTCTTCACAAACTTGTTCTATGAACTATTGGCCATACGGTTCTGTGAAGGAATTGAGTTGAACAAGATCGATTTGAAGGATATTAAAGTGTAACTTCTTTAGACGCGTTGAGAATAAAGTAAAATGTATCTCGCAACAGATTCGTTACGGCTAGAGAGAAAAGATACAATTTAGGAAGAGTGAGAGTGAGAAAACAGACAGAGCGTCTCGTGAACCGCTAGACCGTGGAGAGAGGAAAAGGACAAAGTCGTTTCTCTTATACATAGCATTCCCTATTACAAGAGAAATTTAATTTAAGGATGAAGTATGGAGAATACCACAATGCCATACACATCGTAAAAGAAGTTTCACTTCTTTCACGTGCGCCAAGTTGCACCCTTAACTTTTTTTTTAAATTTTGTCTATTGTATCGTAGACGAGTTCACTGTTCTTTTGGAATCGCTGTCTGAGCCCATTGACCACACCAACGTGAGTTCCACCTTGAAGTCGAAGTCTCAATATAGGGGGATTGTATGGTAGCTGATTGATTACACAAGTAGGTTGTGTGAATCAATTGACACGCGGAATCCGCCGTCAAGACGAGAAGCATCGATTTCAAAACTAATTACGTATTTATGTTCTTAGCAAATTTACATTGTTTCCACTATAAAACGTGTCTTTTTTTTACTCTTCTGTAACCAAAAAAATTTAATGCGTTGTTTGGCATCTTTAAACATAAATATTCTATACATCCGTGTATATCTAAGAATAAAAAAAATATCATTTGCTATACGGCTCGCTATTGTAAGAAGCTGTTGTTTTGACTCCACATTAATGAATTTTTGCATTGACCTTGCCAACTTATTTAATAATGTCAATGCTATTGTAGGTTTTCATTTAACGAGTATTCAGTAATTATCGTACAGAAAAATTAATAAGAATTGTTTTCGACGTATTATTTTATTACGATAAATATTGTATCCATAAGTATAATTATTGTCTTAGGTAGTATTATTTAAATGGACAGAAATTACAGATTTTAATGTGTCGGTTTTTTTTTTGTTTTTTACCCGCACGCTTATCCGGCCTCAATTTAGGGATTTCCTGTGGTATGAGCACCAGAGAGTGATAAGTATATATTCCAGCGACACGACCACCAGTTCTCTCGTTCGGTGGGCCGAGAGCCGCCCTGTTGGCGCCGCGATGCACCTTCCCCCGGAGCGATTAGGGGAATGCGGTTTACCATCACCCGGCTACAAGCATGCTGTCCCACGCTTGGGTCCCTCCCCGCGCAAAGCGGGTGGATCCCGAAGCTCTTAGGGGGCTGAATCACGGATGCGACCCCGGTCCCGAACCCCTGCTCGGCGGCGGCGGATTTCTGCGTAGTTAGGAGAGCTTTGCCTCACTCGCCCCGTCACCTCCTTCTGTGTGCACTCGCAGAAGTCGAGCATAGGCTTCCAGGACTCGTCGCCGCCAAGCACCGACACCACTACGCCAAGTAGCGAGTAAATCCGGTCCTATCTTTGCGACCAGCACACGGCGCTGCACCTCCCAAGCGGGGCAGACAGCGAGCGCATGCTCCGCCGTGTCCAGGTCGTGTCCACAATGGTAGCACCTCGTCGTCGGCTCAGCTCCTGTCCGGTACAGATACTTCCCGAAGCATCCGTGCCCGGTCAGCGCCTGTACCAGGCGAAAGGTCCTCCGCCACGATTCACCCAGTCATCAAAGACCGGGTAAACCGCCTCGACGGTCCGTAGTACTCACGTGGGGCTGGTCAACCGCCTCGACCACGACTCGAGCACAGACCGCCAAGAATGGGCCTTCTGCGCTCGCAGCTCACTTTCGGGGAGATGCGCCATGCCTAGAGCATGAAGCTAGCTGCGTCCTTTCTCCAGCTTTAGGCTATCTGTGTACCAAATTTCATTTAAATCGATTCAGTACTTTTAGTGTGAAAGCGCGACAGACAGACAGAGTTGATTTCGCATTTATAAAATTAGTATGGATTTTATGAATCAACGTGACATACCGAGGAACTTCACTAGTGACATATGACGTCATAACCAGACTGATTTTATTTTCATTTTTATTATTTTTTCCATTTGTCTGACTTCAATGTAAGCATGCACAAAGGCAACGAAGTTATATTAATTTTAATGTCAAGCGTTTCAAAGTTAAGGAATTTGATTTTATTTTACAATTGCACGTAGTTCTAATGTGATTCCTATTACGAGAGACGCAAGGTTTAATTAACATCGAACCGGGGTTAATGACTGTTAGTAAAATCATTATATCTAAATCGAACGGGCTCATTATATTTGCGTAACGATTAAGTACTATTTACAAATTTGGCAAGGAAGTATTACTGGTGGCCCAGAGGCCTTTCTAGCTTCACCAGAATAGGTGGGCGACCACGGACTCAGCGAGGAGGGATTTTTTAATTTTTTTTTATTGCTTAGATGATTGGACGAGCTCACAGCCCACCTGGTGTTAAGTGGTTACTGGAGCCCATAGACATCCACAACGCAAATGCGCTACCCACCTTGAGATATATAAGTTCTAAGGTCTCAAGTATAGTTACAACGGCTGCCCCACCCTTTAAACCGAAACGCATTACTGCTTCACGGCAGAAATAGGCAGGGTGGTGGTACCCACCCGCGCGGACTCACAAGAGGTCCTACCACCAGTAATTACGCAAATTATAATTTTGCGGGTTTCATTTTTATTACACGATGTTATTCCTTCACCGTGGAAATCAATCGTGAACAGTTGTTGAGTACGTATTTCTTTAGAAAAATTGGTACCCGCCTGAGATTCGAACACCG